AAGCCTAAAGACTTTCCAAAAATCTCTTAGAATTGATAAACTATTTCAGTCAAGTTGCAGGATACAAAATCAGCATCAAAAATCAGTAGTGTTTTTATACTCCAGCAATGAACTAGCAGAAAAAGAAATCAAGAAAGAATGAATGAAAGAAAGAAAGTAAGCAAGCAAGAAAAGACCACAACCATATGTTGAACTTTCAGAAGGAGAGAACAAACCTAAGGACACTAGAGATGGTGGGGGGATGGGGTGCGGGGGGGAGTGATAGGTCTGGTAAGGGGCATAAAGAAATATTGCAATTTCTAATAATGAATATGCTAATAATAAAAAATAAAAAAAGATAGGTAGCCCATTTACGACAGGCACACACATACACAAAAAAACAGGAATAAATTTAATAAAGGAAATAAAAGATCTCTACAACAAGAACTACAAGTCACTGTTGAAAAAATTAATGAGGAAACAAAAAGATGGAAAGACATTCCATGTTCTCAGGTTGGAATAATTAACATTTTGAAAATGTCCCTGCTACCCAAAGTGATCTACAGATTCAATGTAATACCCATCAAAATACCAATGATATTCTTCACAGAAATAGAAAAAAAAAATCCCAACATTCATATAGAACAGCAAAAGACCCCGAATTGCCAAAGCAATCCTGAGCAAAAAAGTAAAGCCAGAGGCATAACTCTGACTTCAAATTATACTATTCAAAGCTATAGTAAGCAAAACAGCATGGAACTGGCATTAAAAGCAGGCACTCGGACACAATGGAACAGAATAGATAACCCAGAAATCAACTCATATACTTACAGCCAACAAATCTTCGACAAAGGCACCAGGAATGTACAATAGGGAAAAGACTACCTCTTCAGGCAGTCTTCTTGCTGGAAAAACTGGACATCCTATATGCAGAAGAATGAAACTAGGCCTGTTTCTCTCACCATATACAAAAATCAACTCAAAGTAGATTAAAGACTTAAATATAATACCCAAAACTATCAATCTCCTAAAACATAGAGGAAATAGTTCAGGAAGTAGGACTGGGCAAAGACTTTGTGAGTAAGACCCCAAAAGCACAGGCAACAAAAGAAAAAATAAATAAATGGGATTATATCAAACTAAAAAGCTTCTGCACAGCAAAAGAAACAACAGAGCACAAAGACAACCTACAGAGTGGGGGAAAATATTTGCAAACTATGCATCCAACCATGGAGTAGTATCCAGAATATACAAGGAAATAAAAAACTTAACAGCAAAAAAACAAATAATCTGACTCGAAAAAAATTGAGCAAAGTAGCTGAATAGGCATTCCTTAAAGGAGCATGTGTGAATAGACAACAGACCTGAAAAAATGCTCAGCATCACCAAGCATCAGAGAAATGCAAATCAAAACCACATTGAGATATCATCTCACCCTAGGTAGGCTGCCCATTATCAAAAAGACAGAGAATAACAGATGCTGGTGAGAATGGAGAGAAAGGGGAACCCCCTGCACTGTTGGTGGGTCTATCAATTAGTACAGTCATTGTGGAAAATGGCATAGAGGTTCCTCAAACAACTGGAGATAGAACTACCGTGTGACCCAGCAATTCCACTGCTGTGTATATACCCAAAGGAATTGAAATCATCATGTTGAAGGGATATCTGCACTCCTGTGTTTATTGCAGCTCTATTTACATAAGCCAAGATGGAACCAACCTAAATGCCCATCAACAGATGACTGGATAAGGAAAATGTGGTATACATACTCAGTGGAGTACTACTCTGCCATAAAAATAATGAAATACTGACATTTGCTGCAACATGGATGAACATAGAGAAAATTATATTAAGTGAAAAAATCAGGCACAGAAAGAGAAATACTGCATGTCCTCAACTTGTAAGTGGGAGCTAAAAAAATAAACATTTTTTTAAAAAGAGAAAGATATAATAATCACAATAATACACTGAACTTTCAAAAGGAGAGAACAGAACTGAGGTTACCAGAAGCGGGAAAGTGGGAGGCAAGAAGTGGGTAAAGGAGGAATTGATAAAGGGCCATGAAAAAGGATTACATGGTGTAACGTTGAATGTACTAATTATCCTGACTTGAGAATCACATATTGCACACAGGTATTGATATTCAACTCTGCACCCCACAGATATCTACAAATATGTTTCAATAAAAAATAATTTATTGAGCATGAATGAGTAAATGAAGGAAAAATAAATGCTCTGTTTTAACAGGACTTGTGAAGCTAAAATATTTATCTTCCTAAATCAATTAACTTCCTTTATTTTTCTCAAACTGTCACTCTTTTTTTTTTCTCATTTCATTTCTCTGAAGGAATTCTCTACTTTACTAGCAAAGAGAGGGTGTCAAAGATTTATGATTCTATCTTTAATGATAATAGGTGTTACGAATATCTATTGCTGTGTAGCAAACATCCCAAAACATAATGGCTTAACAACAAGAAATATTTATGAATCTCCTGTTTCTGAAACCTGGGCTGGAGTTCATTTGCTCCATGTGCTATCTACTAGAGCTGAAATGTCTAAAATGTAAGACTGCTTCTTTACTCACTGTGTCCAGAACCTAGTTGGGACAACTGGAACAGCTGACGGCTGGCCAGCCATGTCTCTGTTTCTCGTTCCACATGGCTAGCTTGGGCTTCCTCACAGGGAGGTGGTCTCCGGGTAGTTGAACTTCTTATACTGCACCTCTGAGGAAGCAGAAGCTGTCAGTGCTCTTAAAGGCTTGACCTAGAACTAGCAGAGTCGTATCCACTGCATTCTATTGGTCTAAGAAGGTTACAGGGCCAGGACAGATTCGAGGGGAGGAGAAGTAGACTCAATTTCTTGGTGTGAGGAGTGGCGTGTGTATACAAGGAGGGAAGGTATCGATGGTGGCTATCTTTGGAGTTTATATACCACAATAATGAGGCGGTTCTTCTCGGGTTGCCTGACTTTCTGCCCTGGAAATGCTGTGACTGTGCCAGGCTGGGGTGATGAACAAGGCAGTGTGTGAAGTCAGCTGATATTGCACCCTCCTTACCCCTCACTTGATGCTGCTGACATGTTGATATTACTTCTTGCTTTGGTGTGGCAAGAGCTTCAGCCAAGCCACTGCTGCCAGACACCTGCCTATCTGTCCTAAAATATGACTAATTATCATTATTAGGGTTCATTGGCTTTACTGAACACCTGTCTTCTGCAAAATCAAATGAGTTTCATGAAGACTTTTCCATTAATCATCACAGCATCTCCGAGAGTTTGAAGGAGGTAGGTGCGTTCTCCTTTTAGAAATGAAGAAGGTGAAACTAAACGAAGTTTTAGGAAGGTTGAACAAGATCACACAGCTG